CATACACACACACACACACACACACACACACACACACACACACACACACACACACATATAGATTTATATCAGTTTAGTGTGCTTAGCGCCAGAAGTGACCATATCCATTTTGGTCAAAAGGCTAAACATTGCGAAATGGGGACTTTCCAACAGTATTGCACCATGTCTGTAAATATCAAACCAATCAGCCAAGCAGCTTTGCCACAATCGCAAAGCCTGATGCATTTCTTCATCTACCTCTTGCCTTTCTTTCCCTTCCCTCCCCCCCTCCTCTCTCTCTCTCTCTTTCTCTCTCTCTCTCTCTCTCCCTCTCTCTCTTTCTATCTCTCTCTCTCCCCCTCTCTCTCTTCACTGTGCGTGCATCTCTCTCTCTGTCTCTTGTGGTCAGATGGTTTATGAACCTTGAAAACTGCACAAAACGCTCCGAGTCTGGGATTCGAACCAGCATTACCGACCTCTAGCCCACCATGATATCAACTGAGCTAGCAAAGTGTCCCTTATAATATTATAATAATATTGTATGTGGACAGATGAAATTTGCCTAGTTGTAAATATATAACACCCTAGTCGACATTATTTGGGTCAGTTAGGAAGCGGGCTGCTTCGAATTAGCTTGCCAGGGTCGGGTCCAACTATGTGGGTCACACCAGTGCGGAAAGAAAGAAATGTGCCACGACGCGGTGGAATCAGACGCTTGTCAATTTTTGGACATGTTGAGTTATTTGTATCATTTTTAAGCTGGTTTATTTGTCCCTCTTTCGGTTTTAAAAAATATCCATCTATTATGAATAGAAGTCGGGTCGCCTGGTTTCAGAAGTAAAATTAGCGAGGAAATGGTCTCCAAAGTTTGGCGACTTCCAGAGCTTGACAGTCCTTAGAAACTGCTAATTTACTTTTTTGTCACGTAAACCAACGTCTTAAAGTAAAATCCAAACAGAAAAGTATTTTTCAATGGGCTTTTAAGGTGTGGAGTAAAAAAAATCCATAAAAATTACCAAACGGACAGAAAAATGTCAGTTTCATTATTTTGACGAGCACCTGATTCACCATGCTGCCGCACAAAGGACTGTGAGGGTAGCTTCCCCTTATACAGGGGGTTCCATTGTGGATTGGATCTGGTCGTGGGCGATCATCCCACTTGTCGCCTGAAAACAAACGCGTTATTTTTTAGGCGACGAGTCGGGTGCCATCGACTTTTGCCACGATAGCCGCTTTGCGCCATCAATCTGGCTAGGAAACCGACCCGACCCGATCCCCTTATGGGCACCCCGTATTAAGCTAACAGAACACTACTATTTTTGCGGAAAAGGACAGCAAAGTGCCTAATACTAATATTAATCACAATAGCACTACCAATTCCAGTGTTCAGGCGGGGGGTGGGGTTGGGGGTAACAGAGAGAGAGAGAGAGAGAGAGAGAGAGAGAGAGAGAGTGTGTGTGT